AATACTTTTCAACACATAACAGAGGTTCTACCTGTGGACCTTGCCAGAGGGAATGCACTGACGACACCTATGCAAAGAGAAGATGAAGCAGCTCAGTATCATCAGGAAGAACAAGGCCAGGTGCTGATGTGGAGCAGGTAATAAATTGCTCACATGCAAGTTCAAGTTGAAGGTGAAGAAGAGGAAAACAAGTCCACAAGAGCCAAAATACAACCTTGATTATATCCTACCTGAATTTAGAGACCATCTGAAGAACAGTTTTGACGCACTGAACACCAATGGCTGAAGACCAGACAAGTTGTGGGATGACATCAAGAACATCATCCATGAAGAAAGCAAAAGGTCATTAAACAGACAGTAAAGGAAGAAAAGATCAAAGTGGATGACTGAAGAGACTGAAATTAGCTCTTAAATGTAGACTAGCTAAAGCTAATGGAAGAGACAATGAAGTAAAAGAGCTAAACAGAAGATTTTAAAGGGGTCAAGAAGACAATGTAAAGTATAATGAAATGCCCAAAGACCTGGAGTTACAAAACCAAAATGGAAGAACAAGATTAGCATTTCTCAAGCAGAAAGAACTGAAGAAAAAATTCAACTCTTGAGTTGCAATACTGAAGGATTCTACGCGCAAAATATTAAAAGACACGAGGAAGCACCAAAAGAAGATGGAAGGAATACAGAGAATCACTGTATAACAAAGAGTTGGTTATTATTCAACTATTTCAGGAGGCAGCTATGATCAAGGACTGATGGCACTGTTGGAAGAAGACTAAGCTGCACTGAAGGCACTGGTGAAAACAATGCTTCAGGAACTGACAGAATACCAACTGAGATGTTTCAACAAATGGATGCACTGAGAAGGGCTCAATCATCAATGCCAAGAAATTTGGAAGACAGCTATCTGGCCAGCATGCTAGAAGAGATCTGTATTTGTGCCCAGTCCAAAGAAAGGTGATCCAATAGATTATGAAAATTATCAATATTATTAACACCAAACACAAGTAAAATTTTGCTGAATTTAATTCAAAATCGGTTGCAGCAGTCCATTTACAAGGAGCTGCCAGTAATTCAAGCTGGATTTAGAAGAGGATATGGAAAGAGGGCTATCACTGCTGATGTCAGATGATCTTGGCTGAAAGCAAAGAATGCCAGAAAGTTGTTTACCTGTGTTCTACTGACTACGTGAAGGCATTTGACTGTGTGGATCGTAACAAATTATGGATAACATTTAGAAGAGGAGGAATTCCAGAACACTTAATTATCCTCATGCAGAACCTGTACATAAACCAAGAGGCAGTTGTTTGAACAGAACAAAGGGATATTGAATGGTTTAAAATCAGGAAAGGTGTATGTCAGGACTGGAGCCTTTCACCATATTTATTCAATCCATATGCCGAGCAACTAATCCAAGAAGCTGAATTACATAAAGAAGAACATGGCATCAAGACTGGAGGAAGACTCATTAACAACCTGCAATATGCAGATGACACTACCTTTCCTGCTGAAAAGTGAAGAGGACTTGAACCACTTACTGATGAAGATCAGACTATAGCCTTCAGTATGGATTATACCTCAACATAAAGAAAACAAAAATCCTCACAACTGGATTGATAGGCAACATCATGATACAGAGAGAAAACAATGAAATTGTCAAGGAGTTCCTTTTACTTGGATCCACAATCAACACCCATGGCAGCAGCCATCAAAGAATCAAAAGACATACTGCATGGGGCAAATATGCTCCAAAAGACCTCATCAAAGTGTTAAAAAGCAAAGAAGGTGCTTTGAGGACTAAGGTGCATGGACCCAAGCCATGGTATTTTCAATTGCTTCATATGCTTGCAAAACCTGGAAAATGAATAACTGATGTATCTGAATTATGGTATTGGCAAAGAATACCCAATATATCATATACTGCCAGAAAAATTAACAAATCTATCCTGGAAGATGTACAGTCAGAATGTTCCTCAGAAGCGAGGATGACGAGACTTCATGCCACATACTTTGGCTATTTTATCAGGAAGACAAGTTCCAGGAGAGACATGATGCTGAGTAAAGTAGTGGGTCGGTGAGAAAGAGAAAGACCCTCAACAAGAGGAACTGACACAGTGCCTGCAGCAATGTGTTCAAACATAGCAATGACTGTGAGGATGGCAGAGGACCAGGCTGCGTTTCATTCTGTTGTACTCAGGGTTGCTACGAGTTGGAACTGACTCAACAGAACCTTAATAGCAGGAATAGAAGAAACAACCCTCAGTCTAATAAGCTATCTACCGAAAGCTAACAACCAACATTATTTTAATGATTAAACATCAGACATAGTTCCATTAAGTATCAAAAGCATGATAAAGGTACCTATTATTGCTGCTTCTATTAAGCAATTCATCACTGTACTAGAAATTATGGACCATGCAATAAGGTAATAAAAAGAAATGAAAGATAAAAATTGGAATGAATCTTTCATAATTTGCAGATGATTGTGTACACAGAAAACCCTGAAGAATTCACACACAAAATACGAAAATTCAAAAGTCTGGCAAGGTATTTCATTACAAAAATCAAAAAACAAAAGCAATTATTTCTAAATACCAGACATCAGAAATATAATCTAAAATAACATATACATTAGCCACAAAACAAAGATATTTAGGAATAAATCTAATAAGTTACATACAAAATATTTATGGAAAAAAAAATATAACACTATGCTGAAAGACATTAAAGATCTAAATAAATGGAGAAGTATACTATGTTCATGAATAGGAAAAATGCAGGTAGAATTACTGTAATGTTGTCAGTTCTCTCATATTTATATATTGATTTAATGAAGCTCTATTAAAAATTCAACAAGATTCTTTGTGGAACTTGACAAAATAACCCTAAATTTAATATGAAGAAGGTAACGCCAACAGACCTTCCCCACTCTACTAGATCATTCTCAATATCATACAAACAGAACACACTTTGTTCCAAAGAAAAAAAAGATGAAAGATAACAAAGATACTTTAAAAGTAAAGTTACTTAAGTATCTTTATTTTTAAAGTATCTTTAAGTTCAATTAATAACTTAGTTAAGTACAAGATTACACAAATGGACCAACGAAGATGGCACAACCCAGAAACAGATGCACGCTTACGTGAAAACAATAAATGGCATGGCTGACACCGGGAAAGAATGAACTAGTTAATATCTAAAATGGATAGTCCCTGGGTGGCACAACTGGTGGTGCGTGAGTAATAACTGAAAGGCTGGCTGTTCAAACCCACTCAGTGCTGCTGCAGATAAAAGGTCTGGCAATTTGCTTCCATAAACACTGCAACTAAGACCTAAGAAAATCAGTTCTATTCTGCAACAAGGAGTCACCATAAGTCAAAATCAACTTGACGGCAGTAGGTTTGGTTTTATCTGTACGGAAAATAAGGAAACTGGATTCATACCACATCACACATAAAATCAATTCCGGACAGATTAACGTTTAAAACTAAACTTTTAAACTTTATACAAGAACATAGGAAAGTATCTTTATTCCTTTAAGTGGCAAGGATTTTTTTAAAACGCAAATTTCACTAGCCACAAAGGAAAATATCAGTAAGGTTGGCTACACTAAAATGAAAAACTTCTGTCCAAAGGTCACTAAAGAAGACATCTGTAATATAAAGCCAGAAAAGATGAGTATCTAGACTGTAGAGAAAAAAAGCTATAATTAGTAAGAGAAGAAAATCCAAAGAAAAACAGAGCCCCACCCCGACAAATAAAGGCATTTCTTAGAAAGGAAAACTCAAATAGCCAACAAACTAATGACAATATTGTACAATTTTATCCAGTTCAGATTCCTTGGTCCTTTATTAAAATAATTTCTTTGCCCCTTCTACTCCTTTCCTCTTCATTGCCCTTGGCCAGCAAAATCCCATTTCTGCTTCAGTCCAACTGTCCACTTGCTTCATGCCTGATGAATGAGGCAGGAGGAAAACACAGCACCACGCTGACTGATCTCACTTTACTCCATGAGTAACATTTCAAGTCAGCCAGCAGTCCTACTACATTTTCTTTCTTCCTCCACTTTCCCACTCTCCAGATGACTAGTTCATAGTTTTTCCTTCTTCCTTGATATTCAACACTTTCCCACCCATCTTCATTCTCAGCTGAGGATCTTCCTATTTCGCTGAGAAAAATACTTCACTTGGAAGAAAACGTGCATGTGTTTCCACCATTACAGCTACCCTCTGGCCCGCGTCTGTGTCCCTGTGCTCTGCCATCCCTCCTGATACCACAGATGAACTAAGCTCTACTCCTACCTAAGCAAACCCCACCACCATGGCTCGGATCCCATCTTCTTTCACCTGCTTCAAGGATATGACGCTAGTAATTCTCAGCTCTATCGGACGACTCTCATTATCAGAGAGGCTCTAATTTTTCCCATCTTAAAACCACCACAATACTTTGACTGTGCATGCTATATCCAGTTGCCATTCTATTTAGCTTTCCTGTTCCCCGTTACAGCAATACTCCTGTAGATTTTACATCTACCGCCTGGACCTCTGTTCTGAACTCTCTCTCTATCCTGATTACATTTCCAACTGGATGCTGAATGGCCCAAACTAAACTGCTCTTTCCCTCACTCCCACACCTGCTCATCTGTAGGCTCTCCCATCCTAACTAAGGGCGATGTTCTCAGCCCAAAACCCTTGATGTCACCTACTGCCCTTCTATCTCTTAACACATTCCCACCCCTATTTAATCCATCAGCAAATTCTGTAGGTTTTGTTTTCAGAAACCTGTACTTTCAGTAATTGGACTACTTCTCACCACCTCCACTGCCATCACTCTGTTCCAAAATACCATCTTCTGCCACAAAACCTGCCAAGTCTCCTTGCTTCTGTCTGGTCCCCATACTTTAGCACATAATAACCAGAATGCTCATTTTAAAAGGTAAATCAGATCACGTCACTTCTCTACTCACGATGTACCAATGGCTTCCTGTTCCAAGTAAAAGTTCTCACAGTGACCTCTAAGGCTTTACATTATCTGCATCCTCCAGCCCAATGTGTTATGAATCTTTGATCTTAACTCGTTTATTCACTTGGCTTCAGTTACATCAGTCTCCTCGCCCTTCTAGAAACATGTCAACAACCCTCCCACCTCAGGTCCATTACAACTCTGACTTCCAATGCCTTGTTCCCCCCAAAATACCCACATGGCTGCCACTTTCTTACCTTTTTCAGTTTTGGCACAACTGTCACGTTACCAACACTCTTTCCCTGACCAACCTATTTAAAATAGCAACATCACCCCTACCAGGAACTCTTTATACCCCTTTCCTTTGGCCATATATTCAGCATGTCTGACATTCCACTTTACTTCTTCTCTTTCCTTTCTCCCACTAGAATGAAATTTAATTTTTAAACCAACCAGACTGACAAAAATTAAAAAGTCAGGTGAAACCAAGTAACAGCCAGTGAGAGGGAAAGAGGCAGCACACAAGACTGGAGTTATGGGCAGGGGGTAGATTATATTCCAAGGTGTTGCTCCTTAGGGATTAACAGATAGAATGAAATTGCTCTATAAAGACCCAGACATGAAAAAAGGCAAGAATGAAAATACTCATTAAAACTCAAGGTGGATAAGGAATATGGTCACCTTGGGAGTGATCGTATCTTCCTTGGGAGATCAAGGAAGGTTTCATGGAGAAGGCAATGGTCAAGTTTACCAGGTGTTCAATGGTGAGGTGGCCTATTTCAAGTCACAGGAAAGTAATACAGAAAAAGGCAGAGAAGAATGAATCAACAGAGGATATCTGGGGAATTAGTAGTTCAGTAGGACGGAAATACAAGTGCAAACATGGTGGTGGTGGTGGTGGGGCACACAGTGGACCAACAGGCTGGAGACAAAGGCAGGTAACAAACCACAAGGGGTCAGGGATGTACTGCTCCACTGTTCACTGTAGTTTGTTTAGCAGGTTGAAGATAACATCTAACCTACTTCATTCAAGGAGAGCCACCAACTCCAGGTCTACATGGAGACAAAAGGTTGCAGCAAAGCTCTGTCTCAACAGGAATGTGAAGCGGCAATGGAAAGGCAGAACCCAGAACACAAGCCTCAGAGAGCCACAGGAGACGAAGTGAAGCCCATCTACCAGGGGAAAGGATGGCCCAAGCCCTGACAACCAGGGAGCCAGGCAACAGAAAACCATTATAAGCACTGGTCGTGTCATCAGATTAATGAGTTTTGATAATACCTCTGGCAGGGAATGTGCAAGATACAAGGCAGAGTGGTGGGACTCAGGGTAGGGAGAACATTTAGGCTTCTGCAGTGGCTCAGAAGAAATCACGGTAGCCCTGAAGAGAAGATGACAGGGCAGATGCAAATGACAGTGTAAGTAGATTAATTAGATTAGGATTTAGGTGCAATGGGAAGTTAGAGGAAAGCAGTGATGGTGATGGCAGAGAGGGAAAGCCAGGACGAGTCCCAGAAGACAAATCCAGCAAAAAACTCAGTTTCCAACATGTTGAGTTTAATGCACAAGGAGCATTTAGGAAGCAAGGAGGCATACAGCATGGTGGAGGAGCCGAGGTACTCTCCTGGACTAAGTAGCAGAGTGATACTCTTGGGCTGCACCAAAGTAGCTACCCATTCTGAACCCGGTTTGCACTGATGCTTTATGAAGTACTCTGAGCTCTACGTGGGTGGCCCCAGATCCTCTCGGTGACCTCACATGGTCACCGATTCTTTTTCCTCCATAGAGTGGTGTGGTCAAGTGCGTTAGTCCTGGAGCTGAACAGTTGTTGTTTCCTTTACGGCAGAGCGCACAGCGAGAGCCTCAGGATCTCTCATCTGTATTATGGAAGAAGGTAGGAAGGGAGCAGTCTGCTCCTTCTAAAGCCCCCCAGTTACTCAAGGGTAAAATACTCCAGAGACTGCTTTATGATGATAAGGAAAAAAAAGCAAAATGAAAATTGAGTCAAGTCCTGGTGAAAAAACCTGGTAGTTGTTCCAAGCTATCGTCTAGCAGGTAACATAGTACAAATAAGACCATAACAGCTACTGGAGGGAAAAAAAACTCTTCGGTTGCCCTCCTCTATTAGAGGGAAGTGGACTTTTTACAGATGGGACCTTTCATTATTGTATTTTGTTTAGCAGATTGAATATGTAACCTGTTTAGTCAAGATTAGTCACTAACTCTGGGTACAAATACTCAATGTGGAAATGGAGTGAAGGAAGTGGGTAGAGAAGAGGTAGATATAGTTACAGAATACCAACAAAACTCTGTCTCCACAGAGATGGTAGGAAGCCCTGAGGGAAACAGAACAGGCGTAAGCCCAGGAATCCAAGCCTCAAAGAGCCACATTAGACTAAGGAAGCCAAGCTCCAAGGATCCTCACCACAGAAGTGCCTCATCCATAACAGGTCCATAACCATCCCCACCTCCCCTTCCTTCATCTGTACAAAGTGGAAGGAGGGGACTTGCACAGTGAAAAATTCTCTAGATGGGGCCAAAGTATAGGATGGGTCATTCAGCATAACATTCATAAGGGAACAAGGAGAGAAGGAAACCTCTTTAATCGTGAATCTTCCACACACCTCCTCTCCTAATACACACAGTTATCTTTAGATACAAGCATTTCAGAAGAAGGCAAATACATGTCTGCAAGCAAGCCAAATGGGTACATGCATCTGGAGAGGCAAACGTCAAGTCCTGAATGGGTTCTTCAGCTGAGATGGAGTGGACCTTGTAAGACACTTATTAATGAAAGGGAGTCTCTGAGTGGGACAAAGGGTTAACACACTGGGCTGCTAACCTAAAGCTGGAGGCTCAAGTTTACTCAGAAGCACTCTGGAAGAAAGGGCTGACAATCTACCCTCAAAAACTCAGCCACTGGAAACCCTCTGGAGAGCACGATTCTACTGACACCCCTGGGGTGGCTGCGAGTTAGAGCTGCCGAGAGAGACAGCAACTGGTGGTAATGAGGACTCTGGGTAGCACGGTGGGGACGAGGGGCGGAAAGCAAGCCCTGAAACGCAGGTAAGAGCCCTTGGTAAGACTGTTCTGATCGGAGCACTTGGTGAGACTGTTCTTAGCGTCCAAGTCAGTAATGGGGGCTGGTCCGTTGTGACAGCTGACAGTACATTTCCCTCTTCTCTCCCAACAAATCCTTAGTTGTTTGCCTTTAAGCCCTCTTAGGCAGGCTTCGATAGCTGAAGGCACCGGGCTTTCGTTGTGACTCCAGTACAGGGCAGGCAGGAACCAGAACTTAACTAATTAGCAGCAGGGCCTATTGTCCCATAAGGTTACTATTTCAGGAGAAAGAAAAGCCTGGTTCCTCCACAGAAAACACATGAGGGCAAAGGCTCAAGATGGAGAAAAGAAGAACAGCGTCTAGTTACAGGGGTGGCATGAGGCCAGATCCTGGGTTCAGAGCACTTGACAGAGCAGTGGAGGCTGCGTGAGGTCTGAAACAATGCTCAAGGCTTGGGTGGGCAGTTTGATGCTAAAACAGCAATCTCTCTAAATAAGCAGAAAAAAAGGCTTTAAGTATAGAAAACAATAAATACGTCAGCAGCGTATTTCAGGAATTACAGCTGACTTTTGCCTTTCCTTTCTTGAATACTTGTACTGTCTAAATGTGGGTAATGATGACTTAGGCTAAGTCTAGGAGTAGACAGGTGGACTAAAGGCAGTAGGCCTGTCTCAGGCAGGGGGGCGGACACAGAAAGGCACAGAGGCATGAACAGCAGAGGGCGCTGTGGAACATGTGGCTCTGTCTGGCAAGATGAAGGTGGGCAAGCTGGGACAGCAGACGGGGGTGAGGGGGCTGCAGAGGCGGGCTGCCGCAAGCGAAAGGTCTTCTGTGCACCAGGCAGGGAATCTGGGTTTATCGTATGGGGAGCTGGAAGCCAGCCAAAGTGAGGACATTTCATCAACAGACTGCTTTCCAATCTGTAATCATTCATTCCCCCCACCCCGCCACGGATAACTTAGGTGATCCTGAGGTTCTAGCAAATTTTAAAGCATTGTTCTGAAGCTCTGTGTCTTTCTTTTTACACACTATGAGCCTGGCACCAAATCCAATCACCCTGGACACAAATGCAATTGGCAGTTTTAAATGATAAAATTACACTATTTCTCCCCAGCTTTTGCAAAGGACGAATGGCGAGAATTTACAGTGACTTGTGGACATGGCTACATGAGAAAGGTCAAGTTCTGCGCCTGCTCTAAAGCTCTCCTCCTCCTGCAGAAGCATGTGGGCCCACCTCTGAGGCCTTCTATCAGTCAGTTACTGCACAAAGCCTGCGAACACTCTCTTCAGCTTCCCAAGTCACTTCCACTAAGTTCAAAGGATGCATAGCAAACTGTTCACTCAGAAATACTTAATACGAAACATGAAAATATATTTCATTATGCCTTTAAGATTATTCTGGCTTTCCGTTTTCTTAAAACCGATAAACACTTCATCAGGTGTCCCTTTTGAAAGGAAAAGGGCACTGAAGCAACAAGGCAACTTTTCCAAGTTACTCCCCTGGCTCTGTGAAAGGAGGAAAGGGACGGTGAGCAAATGGGGCTGGGGGCTTAAACAGAGGGGCACCATGTCAAGCAGGGCCTCCTCTCCTTTTCACCTTCAGTCTTTTCTCTCCCCCATTCACAGCTTTCAGTCCTTTGTTTGTTTAACAAACCATTGCAATCATACCCAGTTCAATGTGGAGGAATGTGCTCTAGGGAGCCGTCCTTGCGGGCCACATGTGTGGTCTGCGACAGCCCATCCACAGGCAGCTTCAATGTGCCCTTCTGTGCTCCCCATCTCCCCGGAGGCCGGCACCTTGCTCACAATGAGCCCCCGTTTCCCGCGCTGCGTGCTTGCTGTGCCTTCCCAGTAGCCTATAGCAATGTCTCCCCGTCTGCCCAGGGTGTCCCCTGCCCATCCCGCTCGGGCTTGTCCTGCTCAGCTCCTGAGACAGACACTGCCTGGTGCGTCAGCCACCCCCTACCTGTCTTCAGCCCACAGACTCACCACCGGGTGGATACATTCCAGGATCTTCTAATGTCAATCATACTGTCTATGGAAAATACAATGGCAGTATTCCCCTGCCCCCACCTTCCAAACCTAATTAGAACTGCTACTGCCTTTTGCAGCTCCCAGGAGAAATGCTGGCCCTGTTGGCATGACTTTCAACTTCTTGTTCAATACATCAAAATAACATGTAGTAAAAATACTATATTCAAGACAAATAAAAAATCCTATTAGTCAAATGATACTCTATTTCAGTGGAGCTCCTAAAGCCCTTTTTTTCTTTCTTTTTTTTTTTATCTAGTAATTTCTATCCTACAACGTGTGAGAGAGGTAGAAAGGCATCATTATGCCCATCCAACAGATAAGGAAACTGAGATGCAGAGGCCTTAATTTTGCCCCTAGGCACCAAGGAAAGAGCTCCTGCAACTAATGTATTCTTCTTTACAAAATGTCTACATATAGTCAGTGTCCCCAAAATGTTACCTCCATTAATATCATGACTGATGATGATGATGAACAGAGGCTAAACTCTGGTGTTCTAAGCTAAGTAATCCAATTGCTCTTTCATTTACAACATGCCACCTCCCTAGTCAACTGTCTGCATGGGCAGTGAACTTGAGCAATAGCTTTGACCACAATTATTTCCAAGTAAATCCAGCATGACTGGATTCCTCAGTACAGCTGGTATGTGGTCAGCATCCTCCCTGGGCCTACTGTTAGTCAACATGTTCCACCAAGGGTAAAGCAAACTTCTTCGACCCATCTCCTTACCCACATAAGCTTAGAGTGAGTGCAGTCAGGGCACCATGAAAGCTTTCTCACTGACAGGGGTGTCAACAGCAATGTCCCTACATCTGCAGGTATTACTGGAGTTGTGGATGGGAGGCAGCAGAGGATATGAAAAATTGCCAGTCATATCATCCAATGCCCTGATTTGTAGTTTTCACACATGGCTGACCAGGTGCCTTTTCTTCTAGAAGAAAGACTTTCAAATAGTGTACTGACACTTTGGAAAAAAAAAAAGAAAAGAAAAGAAAAGAAAAAGCCAAAGGAATCCTGTTTAAGGTACTTTGCAATTTGAGGGGAAAACACACCTATTCCCCACAGGAAACTTTTTGGAGTACCCAGAACCCCAGGTCCCTCCTTCATTGTACTGTGTGTTTCCAAGCAGTTATTAGTAACCATGCCTTGCAAGAAAGGATTTTAAAAAGCTACCAGTGACTGCATACGTACTCGGTTAACAGGAAACATCAGCTGTGAGGTGGCCACGGAGTCCTCGCAGGATTTGGTCTGAGGATTCAAACCTGTAGGGAGAACTTTTCCACATCTTCAGTGAATGAAGCTAGAAAAAACATCCTCCCTCGCCCCCATTACATTGTAACCCAACTCCACTTCAGAAGCCCACACATGTAACAATGAGTAGGGCACCAGGATGTGTTTTACCACTTTTTCACTTTTTTTTTGTACATCAATATTCACAGCAATTTTATTTGTAGAAAAAATATAGAAAGAACTCAAAATTTCTTCAATGGGTCAATGGTTAAACAAACCATGGTATATACAGCCAACCCCTGGAATACAACTCAGCAATAAAAAGGAAGGAGTGACTTATCCATATAACAACGTGGATGGATCTCAAGGGAATTATGCTGAATGCAAAAAAATGAAATCAATCCCAAAGGTTACCTACAACAATTCTATTTGTATAACATTCTTTAAATAACAAAATTATAGAAATGGGGAAGAGATTGGTGCTGGCCAGGGTTTAGGGAGTGGGGGGGGGCACAGGTGTGAGGAAGTGGGTGTAATTGTAAAGGGACAGAAAGATCTATGGTGAGGGAACAGTTATCATGCATTTTAATAGATGACAATCATCCTCTTTAAACTTTAAAATCCTGTAGTATTATCTCAACTGGCCTGCCACTCTTGAATTTTAAAATGTCTCAGATGTGCCAGATGGCCAAAGTAGTAAACATTTAGATCATCTGACATATTTGAAAGCTGGAAAAAAGTCCCTAAATTGTAACTTCACAGATTTTTCAGTATCTCATCCAACCCTGAGCACTGAACATGCTGAAGTACCAATACTTGCCCTTTGTCTACTTAACTGGATGAGAGAAACCCTCAAGTTCTTTCCTGCTCTTCCTAAGCAGGGAAAAGAGCACATGAAATTGCCCACACAAGGTATTCAAAACCGCACTCGGAGGAAATGGACAGTTTTTTAAACCAACAGTGTTCAAATAACATAAAAAAGATATGCAAATCTATACAACAACAGAGCCTGAAACAAATTATGAATAGAAGGTAAGTCGGAAATAACCAGTGGGCACTCATTTTCAACAAAACCTTCAAAAAATGTATACAGAAAACCCAAACTCAGTGCCTCGAGTTGATTCCGACCCATAGCAACCCCCTTTGGGTTTCCTACAAGGTAAATCTTTATGGAAATAGATTGCCCAGTCTTCCTTCCATGGAGTGGCTAGTGGGTTTGAACCACCAACCTTCTGGTTAGCAGTCAAATGCCTTAGGCAGTACAGCTCCTTCAATAAATGTATAGATTTATCAAATTTTCAGGGTGAAATGGTTGACGTACCCCAACTGAATATGCACTTCAGGGGTTACTAAACCTGGCCATGCCTTAGAATCAACAGAGAGAGCATTTTAAAACATAGATTCTCAGGGCACAGCACAGACTAATTTGAAACCACAACTCAAATCCCAAGAATCTGTGTTGATGTTTTCTTCAGAGATGAGTCAGCAGCTAGCTTTGCACCAGTGAACCCTGATAGGCATTTGGAAACCAGGATCTCTGCTTGCCAATTAATTATAAAACTTGGCCTCCACAGATCTTCCACAGATCAATTCTCTTAGGGGGAAAGCATTTCAGGATTTTCTTAACCAATGTGGAGTTAAATCCATTATGAAACAAAGCCAATGATACAGGCAAAGCTCATCTTACTATGCTGTGTTTGACTGTACACTGCAGATACTGCGCTTTTGACAAAGTGAAGGTTTGTGGCGACCTTGCACCTAGCAAGTCTACTGGTGCCGTTTTACCAACAGCATGTGCTCACTTCATGTCTCTGTGTCACATTTTGGGAATTCTCACAACATTTCTAACTTTTTCATTATGCTATTAGACACCTAATAGACTACAGAATAGTGTAAACACAGCTTGTACGCACATGGGGAAGCAAGAAGCATTGGTGTGCCGTGCTCTAGTGCAATGTTCACTTCATGGTGGTGTCTGGAAGCACACCCGCAGCCTGTCCAAGGTGGGCCTGAGTCTCCCCAACTATGTATCCTTCGGTTGCCTGTCTTCCTCTCACATGCTCTAGAGCCGACGTCCAACTCTTTTCTATGAGAACATCTTCTTAAGTTAAAAACTGAAAAATTAAGGCCATTTCTACACAAAAACCAAAAAAGAAAACCAAACTAAGGTTTAAAAATAACTCTTCCAAGTCAGGTAAAAGCTGAAGGTGGTGAGGCTATTGGCCTGAATCATTCAGATGACTTGCTTTACATTTTCTCTCTGCTTTGCATGTACAAACCCTTCACAAATCATCTCCATGGTACATCCCTCTTCTCACTTTGAATGCTCAGCATTTGTGGTGGTTGTTTAATTGGGTGGTCTCTGAAGGTTTGCATTAATTTTTTAAAGAGCTTTTAAAAAATATTAAAGAGAGCAAAAGTCTTCCTTTGCTCCTACCCATCTCACAAACGGACAATACTAATTTGTATAGTTGCGGGGGGGGGGGGCGCGCGTCGTCTCTCTTCTGCTTCACGGGAAAGGGTATACATAACATGAGGTAAGCAAGCCAGGCAGTGGAATAGCTCAGCTTCATTGTCAAAATATTCAAATGATCACAAAGAGAAAGCGATTGCTTTCAGAATTCAACAATCCTCCTTGGCCTCCGAGGGCTCACACAGGAGCTTATTCTTAAGCTGTTCAATGTGAGCGGCACTGGTGAAAGAAGAGAACTCTGGCAGAGAGAAGATAAAGTGCCTCCGCCCTTCCCACCTGCCAGCTCAGCACCAGCTCAAGCTTAAACAGTTAACAGCGCAGCCGAGGACCTAAAAGCCAGCCCGGGCCAGGGAACAGCGTGTGTGTCGCAGGACAATTTCACAAAGCGGAAAGGAGACATTTAGGAACAAGAACTCCTCTAAGTTTGACAGGATGCTACTTGCACGCTGCTTTCCTGGTTGGAATTTATGTATCAAAATCAGCAACAACAACAACAAAAACATGGTTTAAACGTATCAATGAGGAATGAGTACAAGCTTAAAACAAAATGCCTCTCGAAAACGAAATATTCCTAAACACAGATGTTCACGAGTTTCCAGAGTGGCAAGAAAAATCACATTTTCTAGGAATGGAGATTGCCACATACTAACCACATCTGTTCAAGCTATTTTAAATGAATGGGAAAATATTTTTCCAGAAAGGATTTATTCATTGACAACAGAAACTCAAGTTTCATTAATCTAGAGCATATGATTTCCAGAATGGATTTTTGCTGTTACACTATGTTTTTCTAGTCATTTGCTTCCGAGAACAGCATTTAAGAACTTGTCTTTTTCTCTGTTAATTAACTGGGCTGCTGCCTGCTGGGCATACACTGAACCCCACTGAACAAAGGGTTTTCCCTCCAGCTTCTGCTCCTTCACTTCTAGCTGCTTCTGATTTTCCTGAAGCAAATTCTTCAAACTGTGTTCCTAACAATGCGACTGGGGCAGAATGAGGTACCCCCAAACCCGGGGGGGTGTCTGGGTCTGTGCACTTGTCTGCAGGATTCTTGTAGGTTCGATGTGCACGGTTTGTGTGTGACAAGCCCTTCAGACAAGCTTCTCCATTTTTATCTTCTGAAGATGACCTTCAGTCGGAAAGGGGCACCCTGAATATGCTGGATTCCCGACAGCGAAATCTTATTTCAAGGAGGTGGATCACGGTGAACAATGGCGTTCTACCTTTCAAGTGGAGACCCTGAACGAGATCCTCATATTCACTGCAAAACAACGGTGTCATTTTAAAGATGATACAGGCGGACATGCTGCAAAATGGTCACTTGAAGTTTGAACAGATTTGTGGGCCTGGCACCTAGACCTCTACTTCTCACATTGCTGTGTGCCGTCAGGTCAATTCTGACACACAGTGATCCTATGTGCAACAGAGTAGAACAGTCTCATGGTATTTGCAGTGGTCTGGTATGCATGCGAAAGGCGGACAATGAATAAAAGAACAAAGAATTACTGATGCTTTGAATTCTGCTGTTGGTAAAGAATACTGAACATGCTCTTTAGGAGAGAGGATGGGGAGACTTCTGTACACTGGACACACGGCCCAAGACCAGGCGGTGTTTCATTCGGTTGTGCACAGGGTCACTATGAGTTGGAATTGACTCAATAGCACCTGACAACAATAATCTTTAAGGGAGACATATACCTAGAAACTCAAGGTTTCAACTACCCTTTGAGGTCAGAGGCCTCCCAAATCTCTATCTTTAACCTTGAACTTTCTTTCAAATTCCAGAGTAATATAGCCAACGACAGTCTTACACCTATTAGCCTGCACATCTCCACAGTGCCTGCCCATCAAGGCCTCAAGTCCTAAAGCATAACCTTCACGTCTAACTCTGCAAAATGTGCTCCTTCTCCAGCACCGCCTATTTCAGCTAACGGTACCACTCCACAGTAGTACCTGAGCTTACACTGGAGGCTCACCTGCTGACAACCACTGTTCTGAGCACTTAGTGCTCTCAACCCATTAAGAGTAGGTGTATTAATCCCATTGTACTTATGCAGAGACTGGGCTTAGAAGTTGTGCTAACCTGCCTACAGCCATACAAGCAGAGAGCAACTGAGCCAGCAGGTAAACCAGAGAGTGTGTTCTATAAGCACCCCATCACCATGTTGCTCCCCAGATTCTCCAGGGTCTGAAATTTAAGATGACATGGGATTTTCTCACTCACTAAGGTGCACAGATTCTATGCTTCCCCATCCCTTGAGTCTATCTCCTTCTCTTAATTCCCAGAGTTACCTAGTACTCAGGTGACTGTTGCCTTTGTTATTGGCCTCCAAATCAGCATGGCAGGACAACTCTGGAATTTTACTTTGTGTCTATTCTCCAGACAGGTTTCCTTCCTAGCTCATTTGAAAACAAGTGGCAGGCTTTATAATTCCTCGTATTTTGGCCCACCTGAGGGCAAAAGCAGCCTGAAGAAGTCTGCTTTTGTTAATGTCTAAAGCCAATGAGGAGATCTTCAAGGAGAGGAGGAGAAGAGAGGAAGAGTGTGATACTAAGAGGGTGAGACAAAGGCCTGAAGAGGACTAAGAGGTCTGCTGCCCCCGCCCCCAGCAGGAGAAGCCCTTATAGCACTCTGTTCCCGCAATGCAGTGGGTAGACCCCCTGCAAGGGCAGCCCAATGGTGTGCCCAGCAGGACCGGGTGTTAGGAAAGAGGTTTCGAGCTTCCACTCGTGGCTGGCCAGCAGAGAGGTTACAGGCCTTCAACACACCACTACCCTGATAGACTAAGGACCACACAGTAGACCTTCACTTCCCAGGTGCCAAGGAAATCTCCAGGTTCTAAGACCTATCCCAAGGAGGAGTACCAAAAACCCAACCAAACCAGTTGCCATCCAGTTGATTCTGAGTCATGGCAACCCCAATGTGTGCCAAAGTAGAAATGTGCTCCATAGGTTTTTCAGTGGCTGATTTTTGTGAAGTAAACATACAGGTCTTCTCAAGATACCTCTGGGTGGAGTCTAACCAACAACCTTTTAGTTAGCAGCCAAGCGCATAACACTTTGCACCACCCAAATACTCTTAATAGGAATAGGAGGCACCTAACGATGGATGACTGACGTGCCTCCCTCCAGGTAGGTACAAATAGGCTGGAGTCTGAATTAAGAGAGTTATGTGAAATAAAAATAATAATAATTCTTCCATGTGGAAGTTATGAAGTGCGATTCAGACTTGTGGGGGCCTCAATATGGTGCTGAGAATGTTAGGCTGGTGCATATCTGTGTTACAGAATTGCTACACCTGCTGGAACGGGAGCCAATTATTCCTCAAACAAACAAGCAAACCAACCAGCCCTGTTGCAGATGAACAGGGGCTCTGCAAAAGCTCACCTGGGCCTAGCCTATGCTTTAAAACCATTGGGCAGATAGAAAAGGATGAAGGGAAGCAAAGGCAGATATTAGAGTTGACTCACAAGATTAAACCCTCTGATTCCTTTGCAAATACTTAGAAAGGGAGAGGGATAGAAAGTTATCTTTCAGACCTTTATCTTAAACTCTGAATTGCTAAATAAATAAATGAATAAAGCAAAAAGAGAAACCACTGCCTTTAGTTTTTAGGTACTTGTTTCCAAGCCTGGACACTCCTCTCAGAACAGTATGCAAGGGTAGGGAGCAGGATGGTTGATTTCCGTAAGATGGAAATGATGCTGAGCTAGAACCTGAGATGCTTTTGGTGAGAGGAGACTCCCTCCCCAGGAAAAGGGATATAAATCCTTTATGATTCAAAGATGCTGCAGTAAGGGTAGGCACTTATGGCACCAAATGAAATTTCGACAGGAGTTCAGATTTTGGGTCATGTCTTCAAAGGAGATTCTCCTTTTGTTCTGTGGCCAAACGTGTGAGACCTCCAGATCTAAAGGTGCTAAAAACTGAAGGGAAGTCTAGTTAATTCAAGATATGTCAGCTGTTACACAGAGATTAGAATTTTTCACAGACAGCGTTCTGGGCAGGAGAATTTGAGATTCACAAGAACAGCAGCCAGGAGACCCCATTTTCCCTGCCAAACAGGCACAGCCCTGAGTGTGATGGACATGTGAGGAATGGGGCACATCCGGAGGAAGATGACACGGGAGACAAGGAGCTGCCTGGGGACAAAGTGCCCTGTCTCAGAGGCAATTTGGCCAAGCGGGTCCCCTAGATTCTGGAACATAAGTCCCTTTCTCCTCTACTCTGATTATAAAGAAGATGGGCATTTCATGTTAAGTTGTACCAAAGAGAATGCCCAGACAGAGAACAGGGAAGTCAGGATGTGTTGGGCAAGCAGCAGGCAGACTCTGGAAAACCAGAGTAGCCAGACAGTAGGGTCCCTCTGGTCTCACAAGGCTTTATAACCTCCTCCATTGACACTCAATGCCCTTTTCATACCAGACAGGTAACACCCAGAAGGGCACTTAATGGACAGTCACACGTCCATCTCTAAATCCCACCACATAACGCAGGCCCCATGTGTAAGAGACTACTGTCCACTTAGTGGTGACCAAACACTTGGCAAGGAGAGGTATGCTGGAGAGCGGAGGAGCAGCCCAGTTTGATGACCAAGCAATTGTCACGTGGCTTCCTTTAAACCCACCAGCTGGGTGGGTAAAGGGCTCAGAGGCACAGTTAAGTCCACATAAGGGACATTTTTACACACGAGCATGTGGCCTGAGATCCATGCTGACTCCCCTTCATTCAGCTACAATGCTGCTGTTAGAGAGACCATTCTAACATGTAAATGTGCACCCGTCAGTTGCCTCTTTAGAATCCTTCCATAATTCCATCAGTTTCTGTCAACCAAGAGTCCTGACTAAGCAGAACCACCAAAGTTTTCAGTCAGGAGAGCAGTATATGCCCCAACTGTGTTACAGAACAGAAGCCTGGTGGTGCAGTGGTTAAAGGTTGGTGGTTTGAACTCGCCAACCACTCCATAGGAGAGAGCTGTGGTAGTTTGCTTCTGTAAAGATTACAGCCTTGGAAACCCCAAGGGGCAGTTCTACTAGGTCCTACAGGGTCTCTAGGAGTTGGTATCGACTCTAGGACAATGAGTATTATAGAAAGAGACCTCAGAGAGCAGATCATGCTCCTGGATTTAGCCGTGACATGCATAAAAGAAGGAGCCCTAGTGGTATAGTGGTTAAGGCATTTGGCTGCTAACAAAAAGGTCAGTGGTTCAAACCCCCCAGCTGCTCCACAAAGAAAGATGAAGCAGTCTGCTTCTGTAAAGATTTATTGCCTTGGAAACCCAATGCGGATGGCTATGAGTCAGAATCAATTCGATGGCAGTGGGTTTGGTATATATAAAATGGGCAAGTAGTAATTCCCCTAGCAAAACAACTGTGCATGAAAAGAATGAGTGCTACCACTGAACACTGACGTTTCTCTATAACTTTTCAGAGAGTTCTGATTTTTTCTTGAATCAGAACTAATAACACTCTTATGTACTTGAGTTGAATATGGAGCAAATTAGAACCATTTTAGGAAAATAACATAAAGTAACTATGATCTTAATGTGTTTCCAATTTACATGTTGATTTTGTGTATGTGATGAATCACTTTTAATTCCTGCTGCTCAAACAAAAGGGGAGAAATTACCTTGGTAAATGCCACATAATGAATCAATTATGTTATTCTCTGAATAAAGTATACTTTGTTATAGTGTAATATAAACACACATAACATCTAGTGTTATTTTAAACATAATGGTACAGGAATGTGCTTTATTTACTAATTTTACCAGTAATATTAACACCCTTCTATATTATGCCCTCTCCCAACTCCTTTCATCCTCCAATTACCTTCATTTAACATTTTTTGGTTTGGTTTGTTTGGGGAAAGAGGACTTAAAGGAATTTTAATGACATTTCTTAGATAATAACTTTTCTTACCTAAAAGTGGTACATGTAATGGGTTTCATACTATACCTTTTTTTCACTATGTGAGAAGCATCCTATTACTAGTAGGTTGTGTTCCTAAAACTAGTATATATATATTTTTTTTTGGTGGGGGGGAGCTAATCAAGTGATGATATTCTCCTAGACACAACCTAAGAAAGGCAGTATGGCAAAAAGGAGAGAGCACTAGCTTTGTGTCAAATGGTTCTAGGTTTGAATACAGGCTCTGCTGTTTGCCAATTGTATACCCTAGGCATAATCCCTAACCTCTCTCAGCCTCAGTATAGGGCTATCAGTCAGTGACAACCCTATGCATCATGATGATCCAACTGGTAGCCGATCATGGGGATGGCGCAGAGCCAAGCCAGCATTTCAGCCTGCTTCACATGGGGGACCATGGCTTGGACCCACTGGGTGGCAGCTTATGACAACATCATCTCTCTTCCAGAGCTGTTTTAAGATTTTACATTATATATGTACATACAGAGGCACAGTGGCTGGCACAGAGGACAAAGCAGGTGTACAAAGCTGATGTGCCCTGTTAATTTTAAGAATGGAGAAGGAATTTATGCACTGGATAAATTCACAATTAGGAAACATTAGTAACTCGTTTCAGAATTATTGTTGTTGTGTGCCATCGAGTTGGACCCAACTCACAGCAACTCCTCCTTGGGTTTCCGAGGAGGTATCACTATGCAAGTAGATTGCTCAACCTTCCTTCTGAGGAGTGGCTGGTGGGTTTGAACAACCAGCCTTCTGGTTAGCAGTCAAGTACCTTAGGCACTATGCTACCAGAGCTCGCATAAATGATTGATTCACTCCAATAATCTTTCTTTAATTTAGATCACCATGACATAATTCCATTTCCTAACATAAGCCTGTGAAAGAAATTGCTACTGTTACATTGCAGGCTTTGAAGTTTTTGTAAATCATGTATTTGAAAGATTTCCAATTCTGTGGTGTGATTATTTGGTATGCTTTTAATGACAATATCACATTTAACTACATTAAACTGTTACAAATGGGCCTGGCAGGAATTGGTTGTACAGGTGTCATAAAGTCATCCAGATGTTACAGAAGTCACTGCAGCATAATGGGATCTTGGTGAATTTTTCCTTTTTAATGTGTTGGTGAAGAAGTGGCCTAGTTTCAATCAGAATTATTTGGAGAAGAGAAATTTAAACATACATGTCTACTATTTTCCTCGCTTAAACCACCCACCGGGGGCAGCTTTGGACAGCCTTTCTAGAAGTCAGCCTCGATATTAAGTAAGTTGTGACGTGTTTTATCTAGTTCAGGGAAAGTTTTCTTAGATAAAACGATTTATCTAAATGATTAGGTAAACTACTAGGTTATCTAGCAGTTTATCTAGAGGTTTAGAGAAAATAAATCAAGTGCAAGATAAGAAACTTTCAAAGGAGACTGGAATCAAAAAACACAACATATTCTAGTCAAGGACATTTTTAAAAATGTGTGGAAAGCGGCCAAGAGTCATGGTTTAGCAAAACTGTCAGCACTAAAACTGGAGGCCTGCTTATGGGGGACGGTGGCGAATGAGCACCAGAGAACCAACGCGTGTGCGAGGGGAACCCCAGAATGTGGGGTGTGAGACTTCAGCCTGGAGTGAGGGATCAGCATCTTGGTATCGGTAGTTAAAGTGAATCGTAACCTCTACCTCCATGGTATAGGTTAGATATGAAAACTTCAGACATATATGGTGGCCCCTGCCAACCATGAATTCCATTCCCTCAAGTAAACACTGGATTGGCAACATACCTAGTTCACAACTTTAGGAGATTTGGAAAAAGCAATTTCAAATTGAAAAGCACTTCATGTTATGATTTTAGGATCGTGACTTAGAGACGCTGAACTGTAAAATATGTCATATCCTAAACATCTGATTTCAAAATGGAGGAAACATCCCACATTTTTTCCTCATACTTATTTGTTATTTTACATAAAACCATTTAAAAGCATCTTTTTTAAATACAGGGAGGAAGTCACAAAGTGTCTAGCAGGCAGGTCATGATGAATGGCAATCATCGGTACAACACCCATTATTTCTAATTTAATATGAATGTCAATGATCGTCCTTAGCATGTTCTTGATTTTTCTAGAGTGAAAAATAGGCTTTCATAAATTGATTTTCGGGAGCTCTGGTAGCGTAGTGCCTAAGGCACTTGACTGCTAACCAGAAAGCTGGCGGTTCAAACCCACTAGCCACTCCTTGGAAGGAAGGTTGGGCAATCTACTTCCGTAGTGATACTGCCTCGGCAACCCAAGGAGGGGTCGCTATGAGTCGGGTCCGACTCGACGGCACATAACAACAGCAACAAGTTTATTTTCAACCCATATACCCCAATCCTGCTTTTCCTTCAAGGTTTAATGTTCTTCTGATGCAAATTCTCTTGACAGCAACTCTTTTCCAGACCCTGTCTCTGTCTGTCTCTGTCTCTCTCCTATGGTAAAAGAGGTTTCTACCTTGGTGTGTGCTCTAACGCAGAGAGAGCAAGAAAACGCAGTCATGACCGGCACAGGTGGGGCTGGCATCGGAGGGTTTTGCAGGAGAAG